GCTCTTGCAGGATTCCTATGTGTCCTATCTGCATTTGCTTCTCCTGGATGGTAAGAAGGGTGTGAGGTTCAGGAGGTACTCCAACGACGCTTATGGAGTGGTTCTCATACATCCAAATGCAGCTATACTTGTAAGGCGTTACAGACTTTGAAGTGGGTTTTTTACTTTGTTTTCAGTTTTTTGTAAAATATACTTATTTTTTATTTCTCAAATAAGAAATAGCTTAAGGTTTTGTAGTAATTTTCATTTAAATAACTAATTTTTACTAACAATTAAACCATTTTTTAGTTTACTACAAAGCTGGCAATGTGCACTTAAAGATACATACTATATTTCCAAAACTACATACCTAAGATTTTTTTTCGTATTTTTTACATGATTTTTACTCGTCCTAAATCCAATATTTATAGTGTAAATCACAAATATTAACCAAAACCGTCTTTGCCAAGTATAGGGTTAACATAGATTTCCACAAAATGTGGGTGATTTTAGTGAGGAGCAGGATAAACGTTTTCATTGGAATTTTCTGACAATGGAAGAAGGTTATCAGGGGCGTGGTGCTCATATATGAATGGCAGACCATTGCTGGAGTTTGCAACGATACCTACTCAAACTTGCCTATTCAAGGAAATCATATAAAAGATCATTTGCTAGTGTTCAATAGACATTTTATTAGCACAATGTATAATTTTTCGTATTTTTTTGTCAAAATAAAAAAACTCTATATTTTAAAAAGTAAAGCTGTTGACGATCTCCCAGTATTTTTTTTATAATCAGGGCAATAGAAATACCCAATAACAGAAAAAAAATTAAAGGAAAAAAAACATGTGTTGACCAGTGTTATCAGACCCAACCCTTTCACTAGCTGTAGCTCACAGAGGCTATAGTCACACTAGAACCTCGAGCCCTCTAACCTCTAGCCTGCTGAGGCGATGCTCACGGGCCGGGCCACTCGTCGCTTGTCTCCATAACTGATGTATCTGACATTCTTTTCGAAACTGAATTATCTACACCATCTTAATCAATTTTGCAAGACGAATCGATCTGTCTAATCGCCTGAACATTTTGCACAATGTCAGTTACGTCAGTTAGAGAGGCAAGCGACGCACTTATTCCCACCGTGCACTGCAGTTAGTGCTTACACGTGCGCGCGCGCATTCGCCCCGGCGCGGCATCGGATACAGGGCGCTGCAATAAATTACCCTGATAATGTGTAACAATGTAACCACTGCCCTTATCGTTTCCTGGACTCTTTGACATACAATACAACTCATATAACAAATAATTTCATCGAGGGTTATCAAATTGATGTATTTTTCCCCCGCAATCATCGCCATGAAAAATATGTCTATAGCAGTAACGCTGTATCAGTCTCAAACTCGGTATTTATGATATAATGTCTCTCATTTATAAGTTATTACCTAGCGCATCGAGTATACCTAATTAGTGCATTTTGTACCGACCGTATCATACAGCTGTTTTATCTCGTAAACATCAATCGGTCGCATGTAAACTTGCTCATAGGAAGTATCTCTAATATAAAGTGTTAGTTTGCATGTTTTAATTTGCTACTAAAATACTTTCAGCAATCAAAAGCTTTCACAGTAGGTACCGGACTTTCACGAATGCTTTTTTTTATCTTGGAAAATTATAATTCCGAGTGATATCTCATAAAATAATTTCATCATCATCATCATTTCAGCCATAGGACGTCCACTGCTGAACATAGACACACATAGACCTCCCCCAATGATTTCCACAATGGCCGGTTGGTGGCGGCCTGTATCCAGCGCCTTTCCGCTACCTTATTAAAATAATTTCGTTGATCCACGAGTAAAGCTAGTAGTAACTCATGAATTATTGATAGTACAAATTAGTCTGCGGGGTCTTATTCGCGAGCCACACGGTTTAATATTTCAGTGTAGTATGAAAATTTATATTTTTTACGTTACGCTACGCTGCCAGTAAGAGCGGCCATTTCAGCTTCAGCATTGTTTAGAGCGTAACCATGTAGGCATGATCGATTGATAATATTAAGCTAGACTGGGAATTGTTATCCTGCTCTGGAATTAATGTTAGGTACTTTTTGCGAGCGTAAACTACTTACGAGCGTATTATTTGTTCCTGTAACAGAGCTGGCCAGAGTAACTTGGTTTCCAATGTTAAGCATTTTTTTAAAGTGGTCGTCTTGGAGGACTCGATTATGGCATTACAATAATTTTCATGAGCGACATGTGGCTATTAGTATGGCTCATTTAATTAAACCAGGAAGTAGCACCTAACTATCTTGTTATTGAAGAAAAGTTAATGATATTGATTATGATCTCATTAGTGGGCTGATGTACGGCATCAGACTGTCTCTGCAAAACACATTTTGACGTGTACGTTGAAACCGTTTCGCGGGTTAAGGCGAAGGCTACACGCGCGCGCCGCGGGCAAAGGTCCGCACGCGCATTGTTCAACTACTAAACAATAACAAAGTTTTATTTGCGAGATGCTTTATCAGGCGATGCTATTTATGTCATATAATAAGGATGATAATATTATAATTTAGATTATTAAGATGTTATCTAGAAATTGTGATGCAGAAGTGTCAACTTTTACAGATTTTTTTTTAGTTTTATTTTATTTTTTAAAAAGATTATTAGTAAATAGTCTCGTTAGTCCCTTGTGGTAAGATAAAATCAAAATCAAAAATGTTTTATTCAATTTTGACCACTAGTGGCACTAATGAACGTCCAAAAATTTGCTTTTGTGTTATGAGTGGGCTCACCGCAATAGTCGAGCGGCGGTGGGACATACCAGGGGATAAGTCTCCCCACAAAACATGACGCTGAAACAATGAACGAGACGTTACCTCTACAAATTCGCCTGAAACATGACTAGGGAAGGCATGGAGTGGAAATCGAATGAGCCCACGTTCAGTGCTTGCCTTTTGCTTGAATGGCTTTTGCTGGAATTTTAAGTTACATGCCGCACGCACGAGGCGACACATTTACGCATTTAATATTACGCAGAAAACGATGCACATTTTTAAGATTTTATCGGTTTGGAATATTTGAGCATTCTTGTTAGCAACGAATATAGGTCAAGTACGGTCTCGGAGAATAACAAACAATGGTCATAAAATATCTGAACCGAGATAAATATATTAAATCATACTGTGTATTTAATTTTGGCTGCTTTTGAGTTATAACTTAAATTTATTTGTATAGAAATAAGACTAAAAATAAAGACGGCAATGCGATCACGAAATTGAATCGGTCACTAATTTACTTTGCCCAGGCTCTTCTATGAGCTCAGGATGCTTCTAGATGATATGTCAGATAAGATAAAGATTCAATCTTTAATGTGAATTAATATCTTCGTGAAGGTCGCGGGAAGAGTCTGGATGTGGGCAGCGCAGGACCATGTATTGTGGAAAATTTGGGGGAGGCCTTTGTCTAGCAGTGGACGTCATATGGCTGAAACGAACGAACGAAGCAGAACCGCGGAAAAAAGCTAGATGTGGTAGCCGTTTAAAAAAAAAAAAGAATTTGTTAAGTTAAAGTAGTTGGTGTTATGATGCGCATAAAACTGATAAGATATCGCCATCAATAGTTCATTGTAATTCATTGGAGATAGCAGCGTACACGTCTCGACTGCCGCTGTCAACCTGATTGTCCCGGATTAGCATTCGACTGATGTTTATTTATATTTTCGTGAAATCTCAATGCGTTTGCCCATTAGCCTAAACCGTTTGACAGCTTGAGCATTCATTCGCGCAGTGGACTTTTTTGTTCCGTTATGGAAGTAATAAAAATGGTATCAAGAACGCACACAGAGCACTAATGGACTCCGTACAAATAGTGTGCACAGGCCTTAACATTGTTATTGTAACAATAAGGCCCGGTTTCCACCAAAGCGGACTGGAGCCACAAAATAAGAATAAAAGTGGAAATAATGGAATTCGATTGGTTATTCAATACACTCTGTTCCGCTCCTCTCCGCTTTGGTGGAAACCAGGCCCAAGTGTGCAATGGTGGTAGCCTACGCAGGCGCCTGATAAGCCTTATCTAACGGAAGCGCCTCGGGTTCCCCGCACATTTTGGTTCTTGATTTCTTCAAAGAGATCTATTGTCATAAACTTGACCAGTAGGTATAATGCCATTTCAAGGTTATTTTCATAGCATCATTTTTATTCTAAAATTGTTACTTATAAAAATTAGGAAGCTGGGATTGTAACGTTAAATATAAATTTGTAAGGTAAAATAAATCTACAGCTTTACTGAGCACCACCAGACCTCAGGTAACAGGTAGCCGATTATTTCATGAGAAGAAACAATTTTGTGAATCTTATTAGAGGAACCTCAGGAGCCAGAATAAAAAGTACAAAAACCAAATCGGGTTTGGAGCCTTATTTGGAGCATATTTCGAGATGAGAGAGATATCATGTTAAACTTTTTTGACGAACAATGTGCAAACGATAAATTGGTGTTCATTTAGTATGTCTATTTCGGGTAATTATGGCACAATCAAACTTATACATTTTACGAGGAAAGCGGTGTGTTTATGTCTCAACAGCGTAAACGTTCCGGTGATTATTTACTTCTTTGAACACTTGTTAGAGTTATGGAAAAATAAATACAATTTATTACTAACTAGCTTTCCGCCCGCGGCTTCGCCCGCGTGGAATTTTGTCTGTCACAGAAAAACGTTATCGCGCGCGTCCCTGTTTCAAAAACCGGGATAAAAACTATCCTATGTTCTTTCCCGGGACTCAAACTATCTCTATGCCAAATTTCATCAAAATCGGTTGCGAGGTTTAAGCGGGAAAGCGTAACAGACAGACAGACAGACAGACAGACAGACAGACAGAGTTACTTTCGCATTTATAATATTAGTTGGGATGAATAGTGCCAAACATGTTTGTTGGTTTTAAAATACCCACAATTCAAAATATAATAAGTATAGAAATGTGGATAAACTTAAAAAATACCAAAATAGTCATAACAGGGTACCTAACAAATACAGTTGTCGCCAAATTACCTGAAACAAATAAAATACTTATTTATTAGTATTCTCATCATAACAACTGTAAAACAATTTGTTAAGTTCACTGACATCACTGTTTATTTTTAACGTTGAATTATATAACACGGTCGTAAATATCAACGGCGAGTACATCACCCACCTTCGATTCGCGGACGATATCGTAGTCATGGCTGAGACCTTGGAGGATCTAGGCACAATGCTCGATGGCCTCAGTAGAGCCTCTCAACAAGTGGGCCTCAGAATGAACATGGACAAGACAAAAATCATGTCTAATGTCCGTGTTGCACCCACTCCTCTGAAGGTTGGAGACTCTACACTCGAAGTTGTCGACAATTATGTATACCTGGGACAAACAGTCCAGTTAGGTAGGTCCAACTCCGAGAAAGAGGTCAATAGNGGCTACTGGGTAACATCTCGCATTACCTCGGAGCAAAAAAATGGCTACTGGTTAACATCGCGCGTTAACTTGGAGCTAAAAATGGGTCAAAGTTACGCGTCGTGTCACAACGCTTATAATAAAAATGTACGAGCACTTGCACAAAATAGTTGTTACAACCAACCTTTTGTTGGGTCTAATTCTCGTCACTACACTGCACAACTTAAAATAATTACGTTTTTTGTCGGTAAAAACGTCCTGGTGACGTCACTTAAGCATTTTTCTTATTCTGCGTGCGGTCGTTGCGCGTGCGCACAAAGGAATGAGACCGCTCGGACACCGAGCCCACAGCGTGGTAGGGGTGGGGTTGCCCGCTCTTTTGTTTTTTAATACTACTACGCTGAATATTGTGTGCGGATTGGGTTGTCGTACAGGGGTACTACATGGTAAAATAAATCTCGGAGGCGAAAGCAGGATAATCCTAATAAAAGACATCAACGCGCTACCGTTGGCTGTGTGTATCTAACATACCTACGTGTGTGTGACTCATCTAAGATACATTTACACGCTAATCACGCTATGAACATTATACATTTCTTTAAATAAATAAAAATATTTTTTTGAAAAAATTCTTTCCATAGTGGGTTAGTAGTTACAGAAGTACTAATTAAGTAATAATTAACGCTTTTATTTTTTCTAGCATAATTATAAGATTTTATAAAATATACGTTTTGGTGATGAGATTTGTAAGTGATCTGTCCAGCTTTAAACACAGTGGATCGGAAATGAAATGAACACCTAGCGAATTTGAAAAGCCAAATTTTAAACTCAAGAATTACCTACATCTCGTAAGTCATATTGTTTCTATTTTTAACTTCGCCAGACGCATTGTTTATACCTAATTTATAATCATTTCCCTTCGTCCCTTGGCTTCGTCCTTTCACACTTTCTTTACACGTGTGTCGTGCATGTTTCGCATGACTTCACTATTGCATTAAGTTTGGACTTCGTCATAATAAGGGTGTACAAATAAATAAATAAGTTTTCTTCCTTTCACATTTCCAGCAACACCACACTTGCTATATGTGCCGCCGGCTTACACGTGCCGCGGACGGCCTTGGCTTTGGCACTGACATGTCATTTTAGGACACTTCAGAACAACGAAAATACCTTGGTTATTGTGCAGGCATGACACAATGACGGAAAATAATACTTTGTTGTCTGCACTTGTTGCGAGTCTTCCAGCGTCGCGTCGCTAGATTGAATTTTTAAACATTTTTTTACCGTTATTAAAATTTATTAGCGAATTGAGTTGTTTCTCAAAGTAAATTTTAAATAAACTTTATTTAATTTTTTTTCTTGTGGCAACTGGGCCCACCTTCAATTTGCATATTAATAAATTAAGCACTAAATCAACAAAAAAAAATATCTAGAATCTTAGAGCCCAGTTGCTGGAAGAAAAAATATTTCAAAATTAAATTCAGCGACTTGGCCCGTGGGCCAAGCTAAAAATGGGCCAAGACCCTGGTAGACTTATTTTTATTATGCACGCTAATTCTCTTGCTCACCGGTATTTCAGTTTTAGATGTGGTTATACGGAATAACCCGTTTTCGGACATGTTGGATGATTGAATAAATAACAAGTATCCCATCAAAAACAATACTTGTCAAAAAAACCAAGTCTCGCAACTCAGTTGTTCTACGGTAAAAAGTTGTGAGATCCATGTAATACCAAGTCCAGGCCAGGAAATCTTTAACGTTTTACATAAATTATTGACTTGGCCATCGCACTAAATAATTTAATTTACACGTGTTTTCATGCGATGGCCAAGTCAATATATTTATGTAAAACGTTAAAGATTTCCTGGCCTGGACTTGGTATTACATGGATCTCACAACTTTTTACCGTAGAACAACTGAGTTGCGAGACTTGGTTTTTTTGACAAGTATTGTTTTTGATGGGATCTTTTTTCTTTTTGTATTTTGTAGACAGCAGTTATGTATCTAGAAAACTGGACCGAAATTGAAAAATTTTACTCGACTTGGCGGTTGCACTACCGTGCCCCCAAATATTTTAGTTTTTCCTTGATTCATACACCAAACACTACTTATATTCCAAATTTGAAGCTTCTAGGTCTGCTAGAAGTGCCTTAGAATTTTGATGATCGGTGAGTCAGTCAGTGAGTCAGTGAGTCAGTGAGTGACAAAATTAAGTAACTTTGACCCGTTATAATTCTTAAACTACTAGTTCAAATTGAATGAAATTTTAAATATACCGTGTCTTTACAATGCCTACATAGCTAATGAAAATTCAGCCTTCTAGTTTTATCCACAACGAAGTTACAGGCGGTCGAAAATGGCCTGAATTGCTTCGAGAAAAGGATGGTACGGCCGTGCCGCTTTTTTGCTCGACTTGGTGGGGGCACTGCCGTGCCCCCAGATTAGGGCTCTTGTGTTTAATCGCGGCCACACCAAGGTTGAAAAGTGAAAAGCTGATTGTTAGGCACATAGAAGATACTTACTTAGTGACCTGAGGTGGTGGGAGCCTGATGACCTGTAATACAGGTATAATAAATACCTAGCATAGGCATCAGACTCACACGAGAACATCAAACGTATCTTATACATTCACTATGTAACTCTGTTCGATTTTTGTGTGAGTAAAATAAAGATTTATTTATTTATTGTTACACTAGAGCAAATTCCATTTTTAGATAAGTAAAGAATGTTGTACCCACACTACCCACTGTGATATGGCTGTTTAAATGTATTAAAATAGAATTGTTTTGACTTGATTAATGTAAGTACGCAATACAGTCGGTTGAAAAAACCTCTAACAGGTTACACGACAAAATTATTTGCAAAATCGCAAAACCTAACTTGTGTCCTAACTTCGAACGGACGGTGAAAGGGTCGGAGTGGCCGACTCGAGATTCGAGGAACGCGGGTTCGAATCCCACCGCCGCTCAGCTATTGTGGTGAGCCCACTCGTAAACTCGTAACACAAGCTTATTTAGCTTAACACGAGGGGCTAATGGGACTATTAGTAATTTGGGCAATACAAATTGCTAATAATCTTAAAAAAAAAACCTATAGACTGATTTTATGGGGGTTAAGAGGATATTGTAAACGGAAAGAAAACATATTTTACTAGGACAGCAAGTTGTCTTAACATTCTGGTTAAATCTTAGGATTCAAGAGAAACATCTCACTTAATGTGTAAATAACAAGACGATGATAAATTGAAGAAAAAATTCAGGAACAAAGTGCTTGAAATTGCACAAATAATAAGACCCTTTGTAACGTGCCTCTTTGTAATAATGTAGCATGCTAGTCGAGAAATAGTCTTAGGAACCCCTAAGTCATTTTAAAAGATCTATCCAATCCAACGATACATCACATGGGGTAGAAGATGAAAAAAAAATCATCTCCTTTACATGTAGGGGAGCTACCCTATATTATTTTTTTTACTTTTATCCTACCGTTTTGTCGGCGTGACTAATATACATACCTCCACAAAATTACAGCTCTTTAGTGCCAATAGTTTCCAAGCAAAACCTCGGACGGAAAGACAGACATGACGAAACTATAAGAGTTCCTTGTCAGGACTACGGAACCTTAAAAAGGAAAATTATTGAGGGGGTGCCAAATCCAAGGGGTTGGTGGCAGTGGTCGGCGCGGGCCGGTACTTAAGGCCGCGCGGGCCCCGGCGCCGCCAGTCTCGCGCCAACCATGCCCGCCCACACCGTCTCGCGCGCTCTCGCAGCCTACTTGCTCTGCGGAGGTGAGTACGAAACTTTCACGCACGCTTGTGAACCAAATTATGTGAAAAGTGCTGTGATACGGTGGAAAACTATTAAGTACACGAACACGTGATAAGTTTGCAGTTACACAAACATTCGCCAATTTCACGGTGCGATTAACGTAATTGCGTTAGTATTTTTACGCTGAAATCTAGACGAGTGTACGACGATAGAGTTAAATGTTTTAGAAAACTTAAATTCGATGAAAATTACAACAGTAAGTACTTGCTTACGTTAAAAATAATAAGTTGATAGAAACGAGCAAGAAGTTTTTAAATAATAATGAAGGTATGCTAATATTTAAAATATCTGGAATACGTAAACGTTAAACAAAACTAATTATGTATTTATGTATCTAAGATCTAACCGATTGTAACGGGCATAAATACATACTCGAACATTTGGTTACAAAATGAAAATAGCTTTCAGGGGGCAAATTTTTTCAGCTTACTTCTTAAGATTTTTATAATGCAGTGAATTGGTTGATCATTTTTTGACGGTTTACTATCTGATAGTTTTAATTAAACCATTTTTTTTAAATTGGTCAGCAATTTAGGTTTCGAGAATGTAATTCTTCACCTTTAAACAAAGGACATTGTCAGAAACCGCCTAAAAAACCGCCCAAAAACATTAACCCATCATAATTATTTTCTATTTTTTTTAATACATTAAGCACCCTTTCGTTCTAATGGACACTTAAGCATTGAAAAATTAAATAANCATTGTCCTTGCTACTTCATAATGAAATGTTTACCAACATTTTTTATAAGTTATTGAAGTTTTGTGTTGTAAAACTTGAAACAGTGTATTGAAATTTTTGTTAGCAACAAAATCATAATTTTATTAAAAGTTTATTACTCACATGACCGCTATTTGTTTACATTAAAGTAATCTACCGTTAATTGCGACCTATGACTCTTAATTAATATTATGAGTGAGGGATAAATGAGTTTTTTTTAATCTTCATAGCAAAATTTTGTGCAACAGTTTTTTATTCAGCTACATTATGCAGATCAGAAATAAAAATAAAACTTAAAATTCTAAATTGGATCGTGTGTTCTAAATAAAGACTACCCTGAAGACAACTTATAATTAAGTATATTATGAACTACACAACAACTGTCTATAATTAATGGACTTCTAAAAGCATTCATGCATTTTGATGCATTTTCAGACACGATTGGATTTTGATACTACATGAATAAAAAATAAGGTTTTATCGAGGAAGGTTTAAATATGGATAAACTAGCTTTTGCCCGCGGCTTCACCCGCGTGAAATTTAGTTTGTGTCACATATCGTCATAAATTATAGCCTAGTATTATTCTGGCTTATAAAGAATAACACTGTAAAGTTTCATCAAAATCCGTTCAGCAGTTTTTGCGTGAAAGAGTAACAAACATCCAGACATCCAAACTTTCGCATTTATAATATTAGTAGGAAGCTTAGGCCCATACCTAATTCGCGAATGGACAGTCGTTATAATAATAATTACTACTTTAGATTTAAAAGTTCATCATCANAAAGTGGAATGCCGAGTTGTATTTCTAAAACTTGTTCTCTATTATTTTATACTATTTGGCTGCGACTCGGCGTGACGACAATACAAAACATTTTTCGCGAATCGGTGTTCATACATTCACACAATACATTAGACGCCATGTTGTCATAAACGACATATTATAAAATCGCTGTGATTTAATATTCTTAATCATTAATTTTATGGCAAGTGTCCATCAGGAATCATTGTTCTTACACACAGAATCGTATTATTTCGCTTTCGGGTAGTAATATGTCAAAATTGTTGGTTCTTAGGCGAACAATGTATGGAGAACGAACATTGTCCTTGCTACTTCATAATGAAATGTTTACCAACATTTTTTATAAGTTATTGAAGTTTTGTGTTGTAAAACTTGAAACAGTGTATTGAAATTTTTGTTAGCAACAAAATCATAATTTTATTAAAAGTTTATTACTCACATGACCGCTATTTGTTTACATTAAAGTAATCTACCGTTAATTGCGACCTATGACTCTTAATTAATATTATGAGTGAGGGATAAATGAGTTTTTTTTAATCTTCATAGCAAAATTTTGTGCAACAGTTTTTTATTCAGCTACATTATGCAGATCAGAAATAAAAATAAAACTTAAAATTCTAAATTGGATCGTGTGTTCTAAATAAAGACTACCCTGAAGACAACTTATAATTAAGTATATTATGAACTACACAACAACTGTCTATAATTAATGGACTTCTAAAAGCATTCATGCATTTTGATGCATTTTCAGACACGATTGGATTTTGATACTACATGAATAAAAAATAAGGTTTTATCGAGGAAGGTTTAAATATGGATAAACTAGCTTTTGCCCGCGGCTTCACCCGCGTGAAATTTAGTTTGTGTCACATATCGTCATAAATTATAGCCTAGTATTATTCTGGCTTATAAAGAATAACACTGTAAAGTTTCATCAAAATCCGTTCAGCAGTTTTTGCGTGAAAGAGTAACAAACATCCAGACATCCAAACTTTCGCATTTATAATATTAGTAGGAAGCTTAGGCCCATACCTAATTCGCGAATGGACAGTCGTTATAATAATAATTACTACTTTAGATTTAAAAGTTCATCATCATCATCATCATCATTTCAGCCACAGGACGTCCACTGCTGAACATAGGCCTCCCCCAATGCTTTCCATGTTGATCGATTGGTAGCGGCCTGCGTCCAGCGCTTCCCTGCTACCTTTACGATGTCGTCGGTCCACCTTGTAGGTGGACGTCCCACGCTGCGTTTTCCGGTACGCGGCCTCCATTCCAGAACCTTTCTGCCCCATCGGCCGTCAGTTCTGCGTACTATGTGCCCTGCCCATTGCCACTTCAGCTTGCTAATACGTCGGGCTATGTCAGCGACTTTGGTTCGTTTACGGATCTCCTCATTTCTGATTCGATCTCGCAAAGAAACACCAAGCATAGCCATATAAAAAAAACCGACTCCAAAGTATCAATCATGGTATACATAAATATTAATTCGTCCTAATAAATAAGATTACTAATTATTTTTCTACTTTTTAGGGTATGTTTTTTGGAGTCGGTTTTATTTATTTTTATAAAAATTAACTTATTTCTTGCTTTTTAGTTAACTTGATCTTACCACTGAAGGTAGGCAGTACATTGAGACTATATTCTTCATGTCAAGTGTAAAATAATATTCCCTACAAAATACAGGTTACCATATCGGCAACCTAAAAAGACCTTAAACCGTCAGCCCACCTTAAAAACATGAAAGAATACAACAGTTGGTCTATTTGTACCTATAATATTTAAAGAATTATCCTCCAACTCCTAAGCGTTAAGGAGTTGTACGTACCATGACCAGTTCATCATGATGAGATGAATGACAAACACTTGAATAACTTTAGAAACTATATAAAATGAAAAGAATTATCCTCCAACTCCTAAGCATTAAGGAGTTTTACCATCTCATATTGATGAGCTGATGATTTCCAGGAGCAAATACTCGAATAACTTAAGAAAACTTTTGAAAAACGATATACGTGCCTCCTCCTTTTTTGAGTCGGTTAAAAATAAGGTTAATAATGGCACTGTCGTTCAGCAGCCGTGGTCAGCGCCGCCCCCGAGCCGGAGTTACGTGGTTGTGGAGTAGCTGCGCGCACGCAGGGCGGATGGGTGTGCGGCGCGCGCCGCATCGACGCGGCCGGCGCGCCCTACGCCAGCTTCCGCGGCGTGCCCTACGCCAAGCAGCCGCTGGGCGAGCTGCGGTTTCAGGTGACTATTCACAGCTAAAGCCCGGTCTCTGAGCACGTAGAATTTTGTCCAATGACCCCAAGCTACCCATCCTTATCGCTCGCGCGTAATTATGTTGCTGTTGCGCTCGCACACTCACTGCGGGCGCCCGTCGCACAGTCGTGACAGCAATATAATTACGCGCGAGCGATAAGAATGGGTAGCTTGGGGTCAATGGACAAAATTATACGTGCTCAGCAACCAGACAATATTGTTATACCAGGCCTGGCTCACTCCGCGCGGTACATCCGATAATTACCTACAGCGAAGCGCCCCGCCGGCGGGTATTATATCAGTCGAGTGTCACGCGCGCGCTCGTCAGGACGCTGGCATGCGTTGTAGTATGATTATAATTCTATGATCGAAGTATTATTTAAAAGTGGACATAAAGAGAAAGAAATATTGTGCGGCGTTCGGGTGTTTAAATTCGAAAAGTAATCTACCGGATTTATCTTTTTTTTTCGCTTCCCAAAGATGCTGAAAGGTATGTTGGCCATGTAGGAAATCAATAATTCTTAGGATAGTATAGGAACCTAACCTACTATGAAGGTGGACATAAAGAGAAAGAAATATTGTGCGGCGTTCGGGTGTTTAAATTCGAAAAGTAATCTACCGGATTTATCTTTTTTTTTCGCTTCCCAAAGATGCTGAAAGGTATGTTGGCCATGTAGGAAATCAATAATTCTTAGGATAGTATAGGAACCTAACCTACTATGAAGGTTTTCCATAATGAATGCATACTTACCTACATACGTACCTCATTACAAATAAGTAGATTAATTATTTTTTTACTAGACAGCAACCCTAACAGCGTAAGAAGAGTTCAGAGGCACGCGATAGAAAGAGACAAAACTTGTAGGTGAATAAAATTGTAGGTACGTAGTGCTGTGCGAGCTGAATTCCACTGTATCGCGTCGTAGCAAGACTCGCATTTATTTAAATCGTCTTGCGGAGTAATCCTTCTGTACCTGTACTATTACTTATTCTGTGGTTATACATTGCTAACTGTTAATGTGCTCATCAGGGATGTGGTACCTCGTCAGTCATCACATCACCTGGCTTTCGTAACCGTGGGCCATGATATAAACTGGTATCGGCATTGCGCCAAGGTGGAACTGCTCAGTGTGATGTTTGCTGCTCTTTCTTCGCGATTTCTTGTGCTACTGTTAGTAGCTGTGCTAGTATGAAGTCCCGTTGCAATGTTTCTTTCTTTCACACACTAAAGATTAGCGTGTCAACTGGCGCAGGTCAAAGATGATCAAACAAAATTCCAAAATATTCTTCATCGTTTCCAGGAGCTCCAACAAGTAGACAGCTGGACTGGCGTGCTGAACGCGACGGCTGAAGGCCCCGTGTGCCCGCAGTCCGACGTGGTGTACCAGGGCCTACAGACGCACGCGGGCGGCATGAGCGAGGCTTGTATCCACGCCAACGTGCACGCGCCGCTGGCCGCGCTGCCGCCGCCCTCCGCTTCTGATGACGTCGTCGCCAACCGCTCCGGCCTCCCGATCCTCGTGTTCATCCACGGCGGCGGGTTCGCATTCGGCTCCGGCGACACAGACCTCTACGGCCCGGAGTACCTGGTCAACAAGGGTGTCATCGTCATCACCTTCAACTACAGGTGAGCTTTTCCTAAATCACGACGAATGTTTTATTATTTTACCTTGGAAGTTTACAGTTCCAAGTTTCCAATGGAAGTTTCCAGTTCCAGTTTTTCTTCTCAGCACTTATCTTGCCATATGTTTGTCTCGAAGCGTTGGTAGGGCCCAAAAGATAAGGAGACATGTAAAGTGCCCCATAAGGGCTACCTTTTCTTTTTTTATTATTTTCTATTGACGTTCATAAGTGCCACTTGTGGTCTAAACTGAATAAATATTTTTGATTTTGATTTTTTATTACCAGCCAATGTCACATTTTACGACGAGACAAAATTACTTCTGTATGTTATGGATTTCTGAAATAAATGCTCCAGATAATCCGGTTGGCTTGCGGAGACTGATGTAAATTTAAATAATTTATCATCAATGCTCGTGTAACAAAATCTTAAAAACTCAATTTAGTTGCTTTCGGCGGATCTTATTTATCTCTTAGACAGGCAATATATCAATTGAAATTACAATGAAGCGGACCACCTTCAAAACTGCGAGTTCATTCCTAAATATGTAAAGCCGGATGCTTTATGTGTTTAATATTTAGCAGCAATAGCGTTTCATTCGTATTTATTTATGCTACATAAACGAGATAATGCTATAGCTAGTGGTATCCTAAATCCAAATATCGAGAAGAAATATCAATTTGTGAAAACAGCCAAAATTGCAACGCTACAATAACGTTGAGTTTATGCGTGCCGTTCTTATGCCTATAAAACAGTTTACAGTATGACAAATAGTGTCATTAGACACATTAATCATCATGGGCCAGAAGTCAGAACCGGTTGACCCGCAGGCCCCGCAGCACGGCGCTGCGAGCTCGCGATTTCGACGCCCGCGCACCTTAATCGTAGCGCAGGTTACAAGTTAAATACAGGCTGGGTATTTTAATTCTACATTTAAAAAGCGAATGTACTAAACTATGGGATCAAACTAAACAAACTACGTATTAATTTAATCATGGGATAAACGTAATGTGCTCAGAAAATGCAAAATTTAACTGATTCATTCAATAAACATCGATTTTCTGCTTACCTAGCACGTCCCTGATTGGAATCTTAAAGGAAGAGCGTTATTTTTGCTAGCGGTCGAATCTTAGATGCAATATAATGAGCACATATCAAAATTATTGCACAGTTTGATCAATGATATAAGACACACTGTATACTCCTTGTGTGTGAGCGACCTTCAGCCACCGGTTGCCACGGGCGTCGTCTAATGGTGGTGTTAATCGTAACGCCAATGTTTTTGTCAGTTCGCACGTTAAGTTTATGGGTTACACGTGTAATACGAAATAGATAGGTACTCGTAAGTAGTATTAAGATAATTTTGCTACAAATGAATATAAATAATAAAACGTTTATTGCAGACATAGATCCATAGGTGTTAGTAATATGATAATTTTAATCTAGTGTTAGTAATGCTAATAACAAGTAGGTAGATATTTAGTAATGTGCTCGCAGATTATTGAACATCGGAAGTTCTGAGCTCGAAGGGCGTTTGATTGCAGTCTGCTACCAAATGAAAGATTACATGTTTCTTATAATATATCTTCGAATTGTGTAAATTAAACTCATCCCAACTTGTTTTCTAAATTTGAAGATGTGTACAAGTTTAGCGGAATACATAAAAATAAACTAGCGCACTCAGTGGTCAAAACTGGACTATGCGGTCGTAACTCGCACATTATGGCTGTTACTATTTATAATAAATTACCTAACCAAATAAAAGACCTTAATGGAAATCTGTTTAAGAAACTGTACCTATAATTTCTTATATGAAAAATGTTTTTATTCAGTTGAGGATTATTTGACATATAAATTACAATAAACAATTTGACATCTAATTTAATTTATTGAAGTAAGATTATTATAATTAATATTATTGAATAATTAAATTTATTGACATACCAATATAATAATTATAATTATTGTAATTTATAATAATGATTTTTATGCACAAATTCACATGCCAGCTGTGCTGGTGAGATAAGCTGCACCATCTTTTTAATTTAAGACCACATATTTTTTGTACCACATTATCTCGGTGAATAAAATAATCTTTGAATCCAATGGTCGTTCCAGATTGAACGTGTTCGGTTTCCTATCGCTGGGCTCGGCGAGCGTGCCCGGCAACAACGGACTGCGCGACTGCGTGACGCTGCTGCGCTGGGTGCGCGCCAACGCGCGGCGCTTCGGCGGCGACCCCGCGCGCGTCACGCTGGCGGGGCAGAGCGCCGGCGCTGCGCTGGCCCATCTGCTCGCGCTGTCGCCCGCCGCCAAGGGACTGTTCCAAAGGTGAACTTCTTACTTCAAACGGCTCAAGGCGTTCGCGTACAAGTGGCATGTGAGGAGGACAGCACCGGACAGTTCGGCGCCATAGGGTGCCACCTGTATTGTGATAGTCGCAGCCCCAGAACGGGGAAAGTAGCATATATAGGGACAAGGAATTAGATCAAAGAATTTGTAGGGAGTCAAGCGTTGCGCGCGGCAGAGTGCAACCTGCTACGGCAGACGCAGTTCCGCGCGCATCTCCCGCGATTCGGCCAGTTATAACCGCAAGGTTGGCATGGCCATGGGTGGTGGTGGGTTGTTCCAAAGGTGAGCTCAGCATTTGAGGAGTGAGCTGGTCCCTAAGGGCTATATTTCACCGGCGGCGCAACCAGTCGCCGCTACCAACAAAATGTACACAGCAGCTTTGTGCAACCAAACGGACACCAGGTGAGTAACTCTCTATAGAGCTGTATACATTTTGTTGGTAGCGGCGACTGGTTGCGCCGTCTCATGGTGTCCCGGTGAAATGTAGCCCTAAGAGCTCAGCACTTGAGGATTAAGCTAGCCCCTAATAAAATGTAGGGAACTGTAGTGTCGAATGGGGAAAGCAGAAAATGTAACTGCCTGTATTATCTGTGACTGTAGTGAAGTTACTGCACTGGGTGCACAATAATCCTTGGGGGGTGTATTGAACGCAACAAAACAAATGTTTCGTTTCATCATAATTTCAACCATAGGAAGTCCACTGCTGAATATAGGCCTCCCCCAATGATATCCACAATGGCCGGTTGGTGGCGGCTTGCATCCAGCGCCTTCCTGCTACCTTTATAATAATAAAAATATAAGGCTTCTATTGTATTATTGTATTTACCACGTGACAAAAAAATAAAATAAATACTTAATATACTGACTGGATACTGAGGGAGATCGGATAACATCGGGACTACAATAAACGAGTAATTTGAAAAACGTCACGCCACGAAAATTGAGTCGATATATTTTTCCAATTCCAGGGTCGCGTTGCTCAGCGGCACCGGCAACAGCGAGTTCTTCAGCACGTCGCCGGCGTTCGCGCAGCTGGCCGCCGGCCTCCTGCTCGGCAAGCTCGGCGTGCCCGCGGAGCCTGAGGAGGCGCACCGGCGGCTGGTGGCGGCGCCGCTGCCGGCGCTGATGGCGGCACACAGCGAACTACTGGAGCTGTTCGGGCTGTCGGTGTTCGCGCCGGTGGTGGAGGCGCCGCATCCTGGAGTCATCGTACTCGACGAGGACCCCGATGTGTTGATCGCGAAGGGCCGCGGCCGAGATATCCCGCACTTGATTGGTTTTACCAGCGCCGAGTGCGAGACTTTCCGCCCGCGGCTACGGGACATCAATATAGAGAAGGTAATTTGAGGACTCGTGTCTGACAATTTGGCTTCTGTGCTTTTGCCAATCTTATTACAGCCAGTTAACAGGTCATTCGTGTGATAGATCCCCTTAATTATTATATTTCTCTATGATGTATATGTCATTCATAGAAATGTAGCGATATTGTACTTTAAAGCTGTTTTATATTCTTCTGATTGAATTCATTGCTGTTTCAAAGAACTACTCTACCTTCACTGATTGGGCGTTATTGGCGGATAATCAGTAGCTTGGTATTCAAAAGTTTCTCAGCGGTGGAAAGGGCAGCTGAATTAGCGGTCGCTTGTTTGAGTGATCCACCTAACAGTATATTATGCCAGAACAGACAGGTTTTCGATGTACTATCGGCATCAGTGTTAACTGCCCAAACTGCCCATTGTCGGTAATGTCGTCTCGTTCAATCGCAAATAATCACCATTTGATGAGAGCGAGAGCAAAAACGGAAATAGATAGTTAACTGTGGCCGTGTGTACCTACGTACATATATAAACATATTATTTGTCACGCATTCCCAAAAGATGATCGCGGGCACGGAGGCGGTTCTCCTGACGCCGAAGCTGACGTACCAGACGCCGCCCGCCACCGCGCCGTCGCTCATCGCGGCGATCCAGCGCGAATACTTCAACGAGTCCATCTCCATCGAGCGCTTCATCGCGTACTGCTCGGACGCGTACTACGCCTACCCCGCGATGAAGCTCGCCGAGCGCCGCGCCGCCGCGGGCCGCACCTACCTGTATCGCTTCGCGTACCCCGGCCAGAGGAGCCCGGTCAAGGAGGCGCTGCAGCTCAACTTTACGGTATGTACTAAATAAAGTATTCGTTAAGACAGGTGATGTTAGTTCAGATAGTTCAATGCGTTCAATTTTGTAATTTTTTGAGTGCTTAGGTACGCCTCAAATATAGGATACCCTGAGTAGGTATGATGACATATACCCAAGATGCGATATCTGTTGGGTAGGAGAAGAGGCACATTAAACAAAGTCACCCTAATTCTAATATGACCCTTGTGAATACGGATTTGTTCTTCAATGGGACGACTTCTAAACGTCAGCGAGATTTTGACTGTCAAACCAAAATACGTGAATTAGGCCACAGATTGCAGATGATCGCTATATCTGTCGAAGAACTAGTAACCGTTGAAGTTTTTGTATGGAGACCGAGATGAATCGTACCAATACATAGAAGATCGCCGTGTGGTGACGGCAGAGTAGAATACATTTGTCAAAGGGGTGTCGTAAAAGGCGACTTAGGGACTACACAACAAACAGAGAATGGGCAGCAGCGCTCTCTGAAAAACATCAATCTTTTAAACTGCGATCTCCAACCCGCCTGCCAAGCGTGGAGATTATGGCAAATCCCTCCACCATAGTGGAGGAGGCTCATAGTCCAGCAGTGGACTGTAAAGGGCTGTTGATGACATAGAAGATCACCGTCATTAATAGCATGACGTCGTCTGGTGATCTTTAGCAGATCAATCTACCATGAAGGAACTAAACTCCCCATCGGATTTTGAACTTTAAGGTAGTTAATGTAAGATGTATGCTGTATCTTCAGGGCGCAGGCCACATCGAGGACATGACGTATGTGTTCCGCGCCAACGCGGTGCTGGGCCCGCCGGCGGCGCGCGAGCCGGGCGCGGGCGGCCGCGACGACGAGATGCGCGCGCGTATGACCGACTATCTCGTCAACTTCATGCGGGACAGGTGACTATATTCAAGTTTTCTTTGCTTCTTACCCTCTGTTTCTTTGGACACATTACGCGGTTTCAAAGGCATTGTCTGGAGAAACAAATTATCTTGAGACAAATGGAAGACAGACGCGCTCGGGGCAGGGCACCGACGAGATGGTCGGACGCGGTGAGGAAGACGGTGAGCGGAAGTGTGCATCGTGCGGTCCACACAGCTTATGACCGCAGTCTGTGGAGAAACAATATCTGTGGTCGCGATCCTCATCAGTGAGGGACCGAGGAAGAAGAAGAAGAGTGCTTCTTATTGTCTCGTTTCAGCCAAATGACATCCACTGCTAGACAAAGGATTTCCATGACGACCGGACCAGATTTTTGGTCCACCTAGTGGGGGGCCTGCCACCACAACATCTTCTGGACTTTTCTGCCCCAGCTCTATGAGCTATATGGCCCGCTCACTGCCACTTGATTTTAGCAATTCTGCGGGCTATGTCGGTCGCTTTGCTGTTCCTGTGGATCTCCCTATTTCCTTCACGCTGGGAAACTCCAAGCATAGCACCCTCCATCGCCCTTTAGGTGACATGAGGTCTATAGTAAGCAAGCTTCTGATATAGGAGGCAATATTAGTCAAAAATGTAATATCACGGAGACGTGTATATTTTTATCGGTGTTATTGTGGAACACGATCACATACGCTTCATAGCGATAAGACCGCCTAATTGTACCTTGTGTGTTCCTTTTCTTCTGTTATGTTATTTGTTTGGTGTGCAATAAAGTGTATTTATTATTATACGTGGTGTTCGGATATGAAGTCAACGTTTTGTTCGGCAGCGAGCCGGCATCAGCGTGCAGCTGGCCCGAGGTCACCCAGCCGCTGCAACTGAAGGACATATCGGCGCCCGGCGCGGAGCCGGCGCGCGCTCTGAGCGAGGAGCAGACGCGCGTGCTCGCCTTCTTCGACGGACTGCACCGCGCCGCCGCCAACTGACGCGCTAAGTGGCGACGAGAGTAGCTGAACTACTGCCCTATTTTGCGACTGACTCGTGTATTCGTACCACCGGTGTTAAATCACTTGTAATGTAAACAACTTTTAGAGTACGCAAATCATAGGGTTGAAACGACACATCACGCCATAACTGATTAACTGTATTGTAATATTGTTATGATTTGTGACTAATAGCTTAGTTTTGCACCGGGTCCACAAAATTTCGTCGTCAAAGATAAATCTAATTTTGTTGTTGTTAGCAAGGACGAAATGGGTGGCCCTTTAAGTAATATTTACGATTCATTTGTAAACGAGACCACAGATTACAATCAGTAACAGTAAAGTAAAATCAATATGAGACTTATAAAGCCTTAAAAAATTAATAAAAAAAATGAAGACCGCGTAAATTCATCAAAATTATTTTAATTAATAAATAATGTGTATTACGTTATATTAAGACCTTTAAAACTCTTTGCTAGCTAGTAGTAATTATTGAGTAAGAAGTAGGGTTAAGGCTTCAGCGATCTACCTCAAGATGACTACTGATCTACGGGGAGTGTAAGGAATTACTACCAATGACACGCACCCATCAATCAAAAAGCCATAACTTGCGTTCCTTTGTAAAAAAACATAATATTTGACGTGAAGAAAATGGTCAAAACTTTGTTTTTAATCAATCGTCAAAATGTAATAAACACATTAATAAGGTTGAAAAGACACATAAGACGGACAAAAAGCACTTATGTACAACAGAATGTAAACTTAACATAGTTATCATAAGTACGACTGACTGAAACATTAGCCGTAAGATATAGAATAAGTCGTGTGATCGTGTGTACCTACAGTGTGTATTATTTAGCTATGCGTGACCACGTGCTGGTCAGACGATGCTTTTATATCATTTTTAAACCAAAAATATCATAATTTTGAATTTTATACAGAAGAATTGGTTGAAATAATCATTAAAATTAAAAATATGAAACTACAGACGCTTTTAAATATCGATATTCAATGTATAATTTTGTAATTTGGTCAAACATTTTTAATAATGTTCATGGATCTCTGAAAAATAGTAATTTAAGTATGTCAGTACAAATAGTGCTACAAATAAGTATAGGCATGATTATTACTTACATACTTAGTTTTTTTAGTTTTATTAATAGTTTTAACTTCCTTAACCAAACCGGATTGCTTCAATGTTGTTAATTTTAGAGGCAATAATTTTTATTTAAGAGCTCAACTTCTTAGTTTAAAGTTAACTTAGTCGCAGTTACATTTCGAGTTGTCCTTGTAGGGCTATAAAATCATCACTCCAGGAACTTGTTTGACATCTACGTAAACGACTTGATAAATGTGAACCAAAAATCGCAGTCATGAATAATTTGTAACCTCACATCAACCATTGAATTTGATTACATATAAAATGATTACATGTTTGAATGAGTATTGTGATTTTTATAAAATTAATTAAGATTCTTTAAAATATGTCGATAAGCTTAAGATATAATCTAATGACAAAACAATTTCAACAAAACAAAACGTTGTTTTCATTTATTTACCCGCTAAGGTGACCTGGGCCAAAAATATTTAAAATCAAAATCATCTTTATTTGTATAGACTAATTTAAATGAGTACTTACAAATCGTCCAATGCTCTTAAGGAGCCTATACATGTCTCATTCTTTTTTGCCCTACAAACACTGAATGCGTAATGATTTAGATCTTGTGATTGATTAGCAATATGATAATAACGTAAACGCTACCTACAGCCGTTTTACGGACTTAAAATAGGAGAAAAGATAAAAGGTTGCTGGTTGTAGCATTTAATGAAACTATTGAGCAGTATCCCAGAATTCCCAGATAAGCGAAATGATATGTTAAAATTACAAGTATCGTTTAAATACTTTCACTGCGATTTCAATATAATTTTGTTATTTAGCCATGATTCTAAATATATTTTATGATAATAAATATGACTGAAATGATTTAGCCCTGACTGTACAAACATGCAGTTGCACCAATATGATATTTAGAGCGAATTGCAATGGAAATACCGATGTTCTTTGTGTTGCAATGGTTTTTCGCTATTGTGGCGGCATAAAGGGGTGTAATGACAGGTCTGCCATGCTCAGTTAGACATGTCCGCTCCGCGATCGTTAGCTGTCCCCCGAGCGCTCATTGAATTGCTTTATTGAAAGTTAAACCGATGCTGCTAAAAAACTAAGCGTGCATTTCTAGAACATACGATATGATGACGGGCAAAATTGATTAATTCAAGTAACATGGAGTTGAAGTTATTTTTCGTTCTGTGGATGGTGTCGACTGCAGAGCAGGCCGAGTTGATCACCGCGCAAGGCCGGATCCGCGGCGAGATGCACCAGGGGTATGTTTCGTACAACGGAATCCCATATGCGAGTGGGAACGATACTACTGGTCGGTTCAAGGTAAGCGTATTCAGGGCACTCACTCCCGTATTCACAAACGATGCTTGCTTAAGTGAAGCAACAAATCGAACGCACAGCGTTGAATAGACCTCTGTGATTGGTTCATGTGTAACCTTGTCCACGCGCACTGTGATACCTCAGTAATGTTTGTGAATACGGGCGTCATACTCGTACAATTTCCGAATATCGTACTCCTCCTACATCAACCAAGAATATGAATAATACAGAGCTTTTCAGCAAGCCGGTATACCCCCCACGTGGAGTGGCATGAGGGAGTCGCAGCAGCCCCGATGCGGGCTGACCTCAAGGGTTAACGACTGCCTCCAGCTGGACGTCCACGTGCCCACCTCCGGCGCTTCGTGGCCCGTGCTTGTATGGGTCAAGGGGGGCGGCGGGAGGTACTCTCCGGGGAAACTGGTCCAGCAAGGGATCGTCGTAGTGGTTGTCAGTCACAGGTAATAGATAATGTGGTGATTAAGTAAATAATTACCAATAGCCTACGCTTCATATGAGACTTGAAAAACATATTAACTAGCCTAAAACCGTCTAAATCGATTCATCATTCATTAACATTTTCAGGATAGGGCCTTTAGGATTTCTATGCTTAGGCGAAGAGAAGATGCCAGGCAATGTTGGTGTGAAAGACGTGGTTATGGCTTTGCGTTGGGTTCGCGACAACATCCCAGCATTCAATGGCAACCCGTACAAGGTGGTGGTGGCGGGGCAAGGCTTCGGCGCCGCGATGGTGGAGGCGCTGCTGCTCAGCCCGATGACTCAGGACTTGTTTCACGGAGCGATTATGCAAAGTGGCAGCGTTCTGTGCCCCTGGGCCTTCAACCATGACGCTAAAGACCGCGGACTGTCTCTCCTCCAGATGTTGATTGAAAACGACGAAACCACGAGTCTCCTAAACGCTGGCGCTGAAGATCTGGCTGTAAATGCCGATAAAATATATTTTCCCTATTTACCATTTGGAATATGTGTCGAGAAAGGATTTAAGAATGAAGAACGCATGTTACCCGAATCACCATATCGCTTGTTATCGAATAAGCTCGCAAGAAAAGTGCCCCTAATCATGGGCTACAACACCGACGAGGCTTACATATTTCTATCTGCATTGAGGGAAAATAACATACGAAAAAAGATGGCGAGAGATGTGTCTGTGCTCCTACCCGAAGAACTTAAATTTCTGAATGTGAATGAGTTGAAGACCGTAGCGAAACAGATAAAAGAACTTTATTTTAAAAACAATTCTACCATGGCAGCACTGCTGGCTTATCACAGGTACAAAATTTTTAGAGAAGTAGCTTATTTCGAGTCGTTTAGTAATGGTTTTCCTACAATTCCTTTGTTTGGCTAGCACTACGAAGCTAACATTGATGCAATAAAAGCCACTTTACAAAGCAATGTGATGAAAGTATTCCAATCCGTAATTTCCAGAGACGCGTACTTCCTAGCGCACATCCACAGGAGCGCCCGCCTCCACGCAGCCTCCGACTTGCCGGTGTACTACTACCAGTTCTCCTACGCCGGCCAGCCGGGAGTGGTGGCGGACCACCAGCTCCGCAAGGCGGGCGCGGCGCACTCGGACGAGCTGGCCTATCTGTTCCCGGAGACGACATCATCCATGGAGGGCACTGACGGCACAGTGCAGGACAACATCTTACGGCTTTGGACTAATTTTGTTAAGCACTTGTAAGTGACGATTTTCTTGTCATAATGGTGTGAATTCAAATAATGACCTTCTTTATACTTCTTCTTGTATGTCGTGTCGACAGCAAACCTATACAGTATCTTTATACTGCAGGTCATTTAGGTCTTTTATAGTCATCTAAACTGGAATGGAGGCCGCGTACCGGAAAACCCAGCGTGGGAAATCCACCCACAAGGTAGACCGACGACATCGTAAAGGTAGAAGCCTCCTATCACATAAAAAAAAAAAACAAAAGCAGGGAAGCGCTGGACGCAGGCCGCTACCAATCGATCAACATGGAAAGCATTGGGGGAGGCCAATGTTCAGCAGTGGACGTCCTATGGTTGAAATGATGATGATGATGATGCACTGGAAATTCGTAATTTATTTTTAACGTTGAGCAGAAACCCGACCCCCTCGGATGCTTCCCCGCGCTGGGATCCCCTGGACTCGGCGGAGCCGCGCGTCCTGGACATCGGCGCGGAGCTGACGATGCAGCCGTTCCCGTACACGAGGGCCTGCCGCATGTGGGACGATATCTACGAGCGGTTCTACTACTCCAGGAATTATTTGGGACTTTAGTTTTTTAGCGTTTCGAAAATATTTTTTCTGCTACCAATAAATATTTCTTAATTATCATTCTTTGTTTCCTTTATTAAATAAATCGGAATTTGAGAAGTATAAGGGTAAAAAAACTAAAACCCAACTACGACAAAAAACGACGCTGAAAAAGTATAAAACAAGATTTTCAGAATACTGAACTGAACAAAGTTGCTAATGTAGTTGCATAGTAATTTTCATGTTTGGAAAACCGCAGTCACACGTTGTCAAAGTGCTACGGTAGGTAGGTATATGTAACGTGTGACTACGCCTTTCCAAACATGAAAATTACTATGCAACTACATTAGCAACTTTGTTCAGTTCAGTATTCTGAAAATCTTGTTTTATACTTTTTCAGCGTCGTTTTTTGTCGTAGTTGGGTTTTAGTTTTTTTACTTTTTATTATTTGTACTATTTTGGTGATAAAGTGTATTTGTGAAAACAAAAGTTAAATTGATGAACTAATAAGTAGTAAAGAAGCTATGAACGAAAAGATGTGAATTATATGCAATTAGCCCATGAATACAGGTAAAGTCACAAGCAAATGCTAGTAATATATATACATATATTCAAAATGTACAAGTAAAGCGCTTTCAAATGATACCAAACACGGCATATTTATCTTAACTTTATTTTTTTACTCTGTATGTTTTGTCCGCTAGAGGGCGCCACATTAGATTTTGTGAAACCCCATATAGCCTATAACCAGCGGACAATTAAGACGCTTCTAATGATATGTCATTTGTCGAATTCTGATAAGTAGTTTAGAAGTTACGAGGGTACACATGAACATACATACATACATACATAGCCTGTCAAAATCATAACCCTCCTTTTGCTTTGCCGTAGTCGGGTAAAAAACAAGCAAATTAATTGCATCAGTCATTTGATGATGGCGATAGGAAATCATAGTTTACATGTGAGTACTATTACTATTCATGAATGGGGGAGGCCTTTGTCCAGCAGTGGACGTCTTTCGGCTGAAACGAACGAACGAACGAACTATTCATGAATGGTCATGTGAATAATTAATCTTTTATCTCATACAGTCATAGCAGAAGTTTGCGACATATAGAAATGATACAGTGAATTTGGGTTTACCACAATATTTGTGACAATATTAAGTAAATTTTCGAGAAGTTTCTTTAGCTCTGAAATTCCCGGTTCGATTGATAGTGACTGAATTAATGAGGGAGTTACATGTATATGAGTAATCTTTAAATAATTTAAACGGTGACATTGTAAACCAAATTCTACACAATAAGAATTATAAAATGTGTACTGTTAATTTTAAATGTGAGTAATACGTTACATTCAAAATGTCATCAAAAAATCTTGCCCAAATGATAAGACTGACTCATAGTCACGATAAATGTTGATTTCTGTATTAGTATGCAAATTCATGTATTCAACCGAACTTATATTTCATTAAAATAAAGTACAGTGCTAGTTCCACATTCCACAATGTGTAGATACCTATTTGGATTCGTTTTAATTTTAATCGGAGCGCCCTAATTTTGTATTTTGTGTACTTAAGTGGCATTAAGTGAATCCATGTTACGCCGTAAACTGGCTGTTGTGCTGGCTGTTCCATAGGTAAATCTAAAACCTTTTAATTTCCTACAAAATCTTAAGTACTTACCCACTAGAGGCACCATACTAAGACTTCAAACAGGTTTTGTTCCCTTACCTGAAAACAAAGAAGCGTACTACGTTGTTAGGTATTCCTACAGAAACATATTAGCAAAACACTTCAAGCGAGCATTGCTTGTAATAATACAGAAGTGTGCAAGTGTATAGTGGCAAGGCAAGGCAATAAAAGCGATTAAAATTGTGCCAGGGGACAGTTGAACTGTTATTGGATCCCTAACGAAATTAATAAGAAGAACATGGGAGGAGTTAAAAATTAAAGGATTTGCCACAATCAGGCTTGATCTGAAAGTTCCGCATCAGTCAGTGCAATCGGGCAGCGATCCGGGCAAGACAGATAATGTCTGTCAGCAGTTTGCATTCTCGCGGTCAGATCGCATTTAAACATAAAAACATTTAAAAAAACCGTCTTAAAAACTAAGCTCTTGCTTTGAGCTTGGCATTTGGCAGACTGGCACCGACTCCGCGCTCTTATTCGACTCCGATAGAATAAATAATTAAATAAATAAATAACGTAATTATTTTTATACTTTTTAGTGGACTGTTTTCGTATCGGGACACTTGCGCGAAAGACACTAGCGCGAAAAGACATGAGCCACAACATGAGCGCAAAAGACACTACCGCGAAAGATATTTGCGCGCATGGATACTTGCGCGAAAAGATATGAGCGCGAAAGACATTTGCGCGAAAACAGTTTAAATGTGGGCGTATAATACAATATAGCTCTCGTTTAGAATCTGACGGAAGTTTATCAATTTCCTATGAATAATTTGCGGTTCTTGTTATTTTCCGATGACATACATACATAGAATTTTTTTTAAAAGAAAATATACCAACCGAATTGAGAACCTCCTCCTTTTGTTGAAGTCGGTTAAACAAACATATATTATGTATAGCGAGCGACCGACAATGTTGTTTATGCATGACATGAAAAAAAAAAAGGCTGCGTACTTATTAGTTCGCAGAACGCAGCCAATGTGACACGTATAATATAAGGATACCTAAACTGTGCAATTAACTTTACTAATTAGTATGTATCTTTTGCAGATTATTTGGTTTCAACGAATAAATAAAGCCTGTAACTAATTAACAGCGAAGATGACGTCATATAATACAGGGTGTGGTTTTATAAAACAACGTCCATCTCAGGGGTGGTAGACGACACTGATGCCGAAAAAAAAATTCCTTAAGTTTTCATGGAAAGATCCATGAAATCTGGAAATTATGGTATTATTACGCGGGCGAGCTATCGGTCATTCCTCCCGCTATCTAGGGGCGGCAGCCGCATGCATTCCGCGATGTAGCGGGGTATGCGGGGGTGGTGCGGGCACAAGCGCCGGCGCCCGCGGATAGGATACATTTGAACAAGGGTTTTTTTACTAATCTATCTTCTATATAAATAAAAATGAATTGATGTTCGTTAGTCTGATTAAAACTCGAGAACGGCTGGGCCGATTGAGCTGATTTTGGTTTTAAAATGTTTGTCGTAGTCCAGGGTAGGTCTAAACGGTGAGCAAATACGCGCGCGATATTGTTTTTCTGTGACAGACAAAATTCCACGCGGGCGAAGCCGCGGGCGGAAAGCTAGTTAATAATAATACAGTAATAGTTAAATATATATTTATATATTTCTTGTAATTACTTACATGTGCATACTATCACCCCCTGAGTCGGGCGTTGCTGTTAAAATTACACTCCGTATTTTACACGCATTGCCTCTGTTTCCCATTAAAATTACTATGAACTATTTTTCTCATAATTTCTAAATAGGAGAAACCGGTTAACATTGGTTGACTACACTATGTCCCACATAGCTATTAATCAATACAAAGACTACCTACTTATAATAAAAACATTGCGTGTGTATAAATGAAAAAAACATGTATGATACAACGTTAAAGTGGGAACCCTGCAAAATTAGAAAAAGGATATAAACTGAGGCCAACACCGACTCCAGGAGTGTCTTTCTTTGCTAACCACCAACATGGGTAGCTCAGTTATCCTCGTCGCTGCTCTTTTGGCAGCATTCGGTAAGTAAATAAAAAACAAAATTATTTTTAAACAATATGATTTTCAAATAATTTTCGGCAAAAAGGCAATTTTACGAGTGTACATTATCCAGTCTCCTTAGATTAATAAAGCCTAGATAGATAGTCAGTGCGCGAAAGGTGAGGCAGCTTTTAGTGAGCTGGAACGGCTCACTCGTAAATGTCATATGAACTGTCATGTCAATTTGTCAAAGTGAAAAATTGGTAAACACGTCCGACGAATTATAATTAATTATGACGGTTTGTGCTGTGAAAGGGTGTCTAAATACATCAGAAAAACGAAAGAAAATGACCAGTGTTACATTTCATAAATAAGTACTACGATTCGACGCGTATTTTGCTTGAATTTGGTTTTCAAAAATTAAATACGGGAATGATACCAGTAACAAGAACATTTATTTCCCAATTGTTAGCCGTACAAATTCACTTCCTTTTTTATGAAATCGAGACTTTTAAGTCGATTTATCTTAATGTAATTAGGTAGATACTTTGAATTCAATAAATAAGTAAGTACATAATGCGTTTTGTTTTTGTTAATTATAAAATAATTAAAATCGTATTAAAAATTTCCCTACTTTCGGGGAAATCGCCTTCATTTTCCACACTCCCCAAGAAAATTTTTAGACATAAGATTTTTGCCTCACTTTTGACGAAGCTTTTGTATGAAGACTATACATCTAGGCTTTATTAATCTAAGCCAGTCTACTTCTACGGTAATATTATGCATGGGCGAAATAAAGCTTGCCCTACCACTACTTTTGGACACCTATCAGCTGGTGCTGAGATGTAGTAGTAGACGAAATTAAATTAGAAAAAAAGATGTGCGACCTATAAGGAAAAGCCGATGCACACTTCCCATTTCAATACTTATTCACTTAATAGTATCCTTTTTCATAAAGCTTTTCGTAAACTTATAATATTATGCCTAGTGTCTACATCAAGGCAGTGCGAGGTGCGTGCGCGCACGCAAGCGGGATGGGTGTGCGGCGCCAAGCGGCTGGCGCAGGATGGCTCGCAGTACGCCAGTTTCCGAGGAGTGCCTTACGCCAAGCAGCCCCTGGGAGAGCTACGCTTTCAGGTCAGTAGGTAATTCGTGCAATGCTCATTTTTCATAATTGTCTATGTCTAACCATAATAAATAGGGTAATTGCGCCGGTTTTCCGTCCAGCTCCTGTTTTCGTCCATTTGACCGACTTGCCACAAACAAATACGAAAAATTAGAATACAAACCCAACTTTCCGTGCAAATTTGGACTTGTTACAATCTATAATATCTAAGTAACAGTTCTGCCTGCATGAAAATGTAATTTGACAAGTAATAACTCCAAAAAAATCTACGGAAGTTGCTGCTGCACACAGGTGAATGGAAAACGCCGTCAAGTTAGAAAAAAAACGTGCCGGTAGGGAACTTTCATGGTATGTTTAATTACTGTTTTAGCTACTTTACGTAATGTTTTTGGCACGTATGTCTAATTATTAGCATAATAAACACTATTTTAAGGGTTTATTAAAGTTTTTGTATAGAAATCTTAGATAATTAAGTGGACTAATACTAGCATAACAATTTTGCAATATTTTGGTTTTCGTCCACGTGGACGGAAACCCTGTCACCTAGTTAATATTTTTAATAATCATTTTACTTCAATGGACCTACAAAATACAATGTTTTTTCTTCCAATATGATCTTTATTGCTATTACATTAAACATTTTAGTTTACGTCCACTTTTTAACAGTGATAAACCCATAAAAACCGTTAAAAAGATGTGGACGAAAACAAAAAACAGCTTTAAACGTTGTTGTGTTTTCGTCCATGACGTCATGAGCAAGCACTGGGGTGGACGAAAACCAAAATGGGACCCAGGACGCCTGTCCGTCTGTGGTCACTTTCCTGTTTAGACGACGAGCTTTTAGCAGGATGCCACAACCATCAGGGATTGTCAATGACTCCGCGAGTTCTTCCATTGGAAGATCTGAGGGGATTTGTTTAATGAGACCCATACGGGTCACGTTGTACGTCGGGATTGTTGCTGAGTATTTGCAAAGGGATAGAATCTCACTACTCAAAAATTTGTTGGCAGAACTGGCAGAGGTGAACTCAACAGAGATTCTGTTTCTCCCTATTTTCTTGATACCATCATTAATCACGTCCTTAATTTTGTTATTGACCAAGAATTTTCCGAACCTAATTGGCTGGATGAAAGTTGGAGCATTAGGCTCGGATTCAATGCGCGATACGTGGACAATAAAAGGGCCTTTGTCAAGGTCACTGTAGACTTTTGGTGCGATAACAAGAGATGGGTGCGTGTACACCGGTTGGCTGCTTGGAGATGACATTGCAGCAGAAGGGTTGTTGGATCTCTTTGCGGGTTCAGAAGGAACCTCCGAATCCAGGCGGCGTTTTGTTGCGGCTTGGGAAAACAGCGGTTGAGAGATGTCCATTGTACAGGAGGCCGGGTCCGGAGGATCCGGTGGATCGGGAGGAGTTAATTCCATTCTACTTACGGTTTTACCAGATAAATCCGTCACCTGTTATTATTACTTAAAATAACTAAGCTTAAAATTGATTTTTTTTAAAAATAAACTACGTTAGAATTTGATTTTTCCACTTAGACACCTGAAACACGTGTTGCCACTGACACATGCGGCGAGCGAAAAACTTAACATAATTCAAAAATTTCGTAAAAGTTTTTCAAGTTTTTTGACACTTGACTGACTTGACAGATAACACTTGTCATTCACAGAACATAGATTAAAATACTACTTCTCAAAACACCTATTTATGTATAATATTTTATTAAATGTGAGATTAACGGCCGAATACTGAAACACACACAGCCTTAGGTTAAAATTTTGGCATTAAAGTATATATAAATATAGTTCCAAAATACTGGACTGTCCTGTCGATGACATTGACAGTGGGGCGCCACCGTCAATACCGGATCGCAGGTTCAGATTTTTGCCATGTTGGAAACCATATAGTTGAACGATGATAGCGCCCCCCTGTCATTGAGTTTGGCGGGACAGCTCAGCGTGGGTCATCTATAAAAAGATTATAATCATTTCACGTCGTTTTTCGTAGTCCATTAACGCCACCTATTGTAGAGTAGTATTCAACTTAGCCTGCCTAGCCTTATAGTATGTATGCCACCTGGGGGCGGGTAGTGGAACTCGTATTTCATTCGTTCTATGCGTTTGGTTATATGATTTGCAGAGGTAAATTTTTAATTCNTTTAATAATCATTTTACTTCAATGGACCTACAAAATACAATGTTTTTTCTTCCAATATGATCTTTATTGCTATTACATTAAACATTTTAGTTTACGTCCACTTTTTAACAGTGATAAACCCATAAAAACCGTTAAAAAGATGTGGACGAAAACAAAAAACAGCTTTAAACGTTGTTGTGTTTTCGTCCATGACGTCATGAGCAAGCACTGGGGTGGACGAAAACCAAAATTAGCTATTCCTGTAGGTTAGTTTTCGTCCATTTGTCCTTCGACCTATTGCAATATTTTCCCAAATTTAGGTAAGAAACTTATTCAAATCTTTTTAATATCATTTGAAAGCTAACAAAATTACCTTTCAAATGATATACCACAATCCATAGTTACTGTATTGTAGAATTGGTTTTAAGTTGATAATTCAACTGCACCCTTTATTCTACACAGTGGTCGAAAACTAGCGTACACTAGGACGAAAACTGATTTTTTTGGACGAAAACTAGTGAAATCGCCTCTTTTGCATAAAATATTTTTTATAAAAAAACCCGTGGTATTTACTTATTGTCTTAAAATATTAACGTAAAGTAGACTATATGAGGACTAAAATGACATTATGATACATATGAGTAAGGGTATTTTAAGATATTCATTTCGCATCACAAAGTTGGCAACTCCGCTAATTGGACGAAAACTAGCGGACTTACCCTACGTCAGTCAAAGGACGTCACTTATATAAATTCTTCCCGAATGTACGCGATCGAACGTCTAACTAGGCGATGGTTAGAAATCGACCATTGCTCGTCGCAGTTCCTCACGGGACATGGCAACTTTAAACATAAACTTCACGAATTCAAACTAGTTCCGTCTCCTTTTTGCGAGTGGTCCACTGATGATGTCAGTCATGAGCAGTCTGCCCATCATATCTTGTGGGAGTGTGATCTTTGGAAACATGAACGTGATATAATGCTTAATTCAATACAACATAGTCATCTGTTTCCGCAATTTATTACACCGATCTTGTCGCGATAAGGAAAAATTTCCATGCTTTTAAGCGATTTTGTGAAAAATATTATTGGCAGGTAGTTGCTGATTGCTCATAAGATAGGCCCCCTTAATTTAATTTATTGTCCGTGGTGCATAATCTTTTCTTAAAGGTTTTAAACTTTTGTTTGTCACCTGCCATCCGCTTTGCAATGGAGGGAAGTCGAACATTAATTTCAAACTCCTCCTATGTTCTTCTGATTAATTTCGTTGCGGGTCCAATGACAGTTTAACTATCCCCCGCCCGGGACAAACTTGACCTTCATTGGTTGGGTTTTTGTGGCGGTCAAGCTGTAGATCCTGGCTACACAGGAGTTGCAGTGGTGGGAAAGAGAGGTGGGAATAGTCCCGTAACCATAATAAAGAATTCCATTAAGACTATATTTTTTTTTCTTAAAAATTAAAAACGTACGAAATTCGCAGGAACTTCAACCACTTGAACCTTGGATCGAGGACTTTAATGCCACAACCGAAGGGCCCGCCTGCCCGAACAATGATATCTACTTTGGCCCCCTTGTGCAGCCGCAAGGCATCAGCGAGGCTTGCATCCATGCCAACATACACGTCCCAATAGATGCCCTCCCGAACACCCAAATCGGTGCAAGTTGTACTGGAGGGCTACCGATCTTGGTGTTTATTCACGGAGGCGGTTGGGTCTGCGGGTCCGGCGACGCAGACTTTAATGGACCAGAGTATATGGTCAGCAAAGGTGTTATAGTAATCACTCTCAACTACAGGCAAGTATTTTGGGCAATGCAATTTACTTTATCCAATGCCTTCTAATCCGATAAAACATCATGAATGTAGCTCATTGAATGCACACGTATACAGTAAGCATTGTAGCATCTAAGTAATTAGGATTACAATTTGTAGGCTGGACTACCTTGGCTTCTTGTCCCTGAACACCTCGAAGATTCCCGGGAACAATGGTCTGCGCGACATGGTGACCTTGCTGCGCTGGGTGCAGGCCAACGCGGCCTACTTCGGAGGCAACCCCGCCGACGTCACGCTGGCGGGACAGAGCGCCGGCGCCGTCAGTGTGCACCTTCTGACGCTATCGCCAGCCGCTGTTGGACTATTTAATCGGTTTGTAAAGCACTTTGTTAATGCAATCTTGTTTTTCATTTCTTTTGTTGTAATTTTTTTTAATCACAGAACATTTCTGTCCTTTTAGTGCATTTATTATGAGCGGTGTCGCTATCCAGGGCTTCTACAGCCAGTCTCCTGTGCACGCTCAGCAAGTGGCTGCCCTCTTCCTCTCCGCTCTGAACATCTCCTCCACGGACTACGACGAGGTCCACGACCAGCTTGTTGAATTGCCGATCGACATCCTCATAGTCGCCAGCAGGGTAGTGTTAGATCAAACGGGTTTAAACAGTTTCGTCCCTGTTGTGGAGACACCATTTGCAAACTTTACGACAATCCTAAGCGAGTACCCAGAAACTCTGCAAGCTAACGGCAACGGGAAGCATATTCCGCTAGTTATAGGCTTCACCAGCGACGAGTGCGAGATGATTCGTCCAAGATTAGTCCAAAATCAACGCTGCGGTTGCGATCCAAGAGAATCCGCTGATTGGGTTGTCTCCAGAGCTTGTATACAGTTTGCCATCGAACGTAACAGCGGAGATGGCGAAGAAGGTGATGGCAAGATATTTTAACGGGACCCCGACAATGGACGAGTACATTAAGTTGTGTACCGAGTCGCTCCTCCAGTACCCGGCGATCAAGCTGGCGCAGGCGCGCGCGGCCAGCGGAGGTGCGCCCGCGTTCCTGTACAAGTACGCCTACGAGGCCGAGTACAGCGTCATCAAGGAGGCGTTGAACCTCACATATTCCGGCGCCGGCCATATCGAGGACTTGAACAGGATATTCAAGGTGAACTCGTGGCCTGTACCTGCCAGTGACGCCGATGAAGCTATGACTGGATGGATGACCGATATCATGGAGACATTCATAAAGTATAAGTAAGTCATAATTTTTATAAAATTATATTACCTGACTTCGATTTTAGTAATATCATTTTGATTAAAAGATTAAAGGTAACACATATTGAGAACATCTTCATTTTGTGAAGTCAGTAAAAAGTGTTACACATAGGTACTTTATTTTAGATGTCCTATTTAAATTACCAGCTCTCCGTCAAGAGATGGATGTTGGGGAGCGGCGTCATGTGCGCTGGAGTACAACTACATCGCCGGGCCCGCCACCGACTTCGGCGCCATGAGCGACTACGACCAGGAGATGGTCCACTTCTTCGAAACCTTAGCCGACGTGTAGTGTACGAGTGTGACTACAATGACTGATATAATTAATTTATACTATTATTTATCTTGTTGTAAGATCCAAGAAAAGCTGGTTTTCATGCACGATATCTTCAGGGAAATTCCTAAGAGCTCTTTTCTGAAGCATCCCAGGCATGCTCAATAGGATTTAAGTCAGGGGATTGTGCAGGTATCATGCCGTTGTAACCAACTTGTAACGAACGATACGCGCCATATGTGGACGGGCATTGTCGTGCATTAGCTGGAAATTTTGTCCCATTTGTTCTCTGTTGGGCAAGATTACAGGCATCTCATCTCGGTATTTTAGAACAGACATATTGCCTTGTATCCAAACGAGGTCCGTTCTACCGCCTAGTCGAATTCCTGCCCAAACCATAATCCTGCCACCTTGATATGCATGAACTTGTTGTGGGTGCTGCAGTCGATTCCAACGTCCAGGTTCTCTCCAAACGCGTACTCTTCGCGAATTAGGATGAAATCCAAACCTGGATTCATCAGTGAAAATCACAAGTGACCATTGAGAATGGTTCCAGTTTTCGTGTGCAATAGCCCATTGTAATCTTCTTCCTCGATTGCCTCTCCTTAGCGCTGGTATCCGAAGTGGCCTACGAGCACGTAGGTTGACTTCATGCGGTCGTCTTCTCAAAGTTTGACCGCTTACAGCAAACCATACTCTCTCTGTAGCCTTTGAACCAATTGCATCGTTGACTTGGCATGATATCCAAGTTTTAGACTGGCCTGCACAATCCCCTGACTTAAATCCTATTGAGCATGCCTGGGATATGCTTCAGAGAAGAGCTCTTAGGAATTTCCCTGAAGATATTGTGCATGAAAACCAGCTTTTCTTGCATCTTAGCAGGACTTGGAACAGTATTCCACAACAGGATATTGACACCCTTGTTTTGAGTATGCAGAACCTCTGCAGATGTGTCAGGAGAGTCTTTTGTGGATCTACGGATTATTAATTTTAAGTTTTTAACAATATTTATTTAAAAAAAAATTTGATGTTTGTTTAGGTTTGATGTTTAAAAAATAAAGTTAAGATTGAAATTTTGTCTTTTTTTAAATTTAACTTTATCTATTTAAAAGTTTATTATCAGATTAGATAGGCTATTAAACAAGGTTTATTTTAATGTGTAGGTAGGTGTCCTAACAAAAAGTAGATAGAATTTTAGTTATTTAGGTTTAATTGAAATATGTCGGCCGTTTGGTGTAGTGGTTCAGAACGATCAGACGACGAATGATAGATTTTTGATTTCTGTGACAGGTCTGGGTGTTTTCTGTGTATAATATGTATGTATTTATAAAAAAAGTATTTAAGTATGTTTATATCCGATGTCTAGTACCCATATTAAAAGCTTTGCTTAGTTTGTAAAATGTCCAAGGATATTTATTTATTATTTATATCCCTAGCTAGAACATGTTGATGTGTGTAAATTGTGGTTAATAGATTTAAAAAAAAAATGTATCCCCAACGAGGAAGCTCTTGGCCTGTATCTCACCTGATGGTAAGTGTAGGATTTAAATAAACACCGCCCTTTGCCATAATTAAAAAGTTAATACTTTTGTCTATGATGCTAACTCTGTATTCTCTGTGATCTGTCCGTCCGTTCGTGTGGACGTCAATAAACCGTTTAATTGAAATAATTCCCTCTTTTATTAGTATACTTCCAACNATCTCATTGTAGGATTTAAATAAACACCGCCCTTTGCCATAGTTAAAAAGTTAATACTTTTGTCTATGATGCTAACTCTGTATTCTCTGTGGTCCGTCCGTGTGGACGTCAATAAACCGTTTAATTGAAATAATTCCCTCTTTTATTAGTATACTTCCAACAGGTTATGGGCCGTCCCGTATACCCGTAGTGAAAGGGAGAATTTCGACAATTTATTGAGATAAATCGGAGAATCACATTTCGAAGTAATATTCTGAAAAATTTTCCCGATCGAAAATGGCTACCGCGAACCTTCAACTGGAAAAATTACTCGACATAGAAGTTTGCAGTTAAATCGTATCTAGAACACGAAGATTTATGGGAGTGTGTTGATCCAGGAATCAACGTTGATCCGAAGAAAGATATCAAAGCCAAGTCGAAATTGATTTTGTTGGTAGAACCAATAAATTTCGTGCATATTGAAAGTGCTTCGTCCGCCAGAGAGGTGTGGAAAAGACTTGAGGTTGCATTTGAGGACTCCGGGCTATCTCGAAAAGTCGGATTATTGAAGGATCTGATAAACACCACCCTAGACAACTGCTCCAGTATCGAGGAATACGTTAATAAGATTATGAGTACTGCGTACAAGTTACGGAATATCGGCTTCGAAGTTGGTGATGAATGGCTGGGAACACTCATGCTGGCAGGTTTACCGGATAATTATAAACCGATGATCATGGGTCTGGAAAGTTCCTGCATAAAGATTTCATCAGATTTTGTGAAGACAAAACTTTTACAAGAAGTGAAAGTCTCCGAGTCTTCTGCATTCTATACAAAGCACAAGAATACCTCTAACACAAAGCCAAAAGGAAAAGGTCCCCGCTGCTTCAAGTGTAACAATTATGGGCATTACAAGAGCCAATGCAAAGCTACTACAGTGAAGAATAATGATAACAAGAATAATCATAACACCTTTTCAGCCGTTTTTTCAGCTTTCAGCATGTCAAATCAGGACGACTGGTATGTTGACTCGGGAGCTACTATGCATATGTCAAGACGCTCTAATTGGATGTATGACCTGCAAGCACCTCCGATTAATAAAATAATGGTGGCGAACAGTGACTCAGTCTCCGTGCACAGTATGGGTAAAGTAAATATACAGACCCGTTATTGCAAGAATGAGAATCCAATCCAGGTGAGAAATGTCTTGTATATTCCTGATCTGAGTACAAACCTTTTATCGGTTAGTCAACTAACCAAGAGTGGCTGTAAGGTAGAGTTCACTGACACGGGCTGCAACATATTCAATGCCAACAAGACTCTGGTAGCAACTGCGAATTTATGCAATAACATGTATAAACTTAATACTGTTACAGATAGTGCATATACAGTTTCTCATAATGAGAGTAAGGTAGATATTACTACATGGCATAAGAGGATGGGGCACCTAAACATGGCTGATGTGAGGAGATTAGAGGTATGTGCTGAAGGTATAACTATCAGTAACAAGGAAGCTGATAATGTTTGTGTCACATGTTGTGAAGCTAAACAAACTCGATCACCGTTTCCCCATTCTGGTTCGAGGGCGAAGGCGCTGTTGGAAATAATACATACCGACTTATGCGGTCCAATGGAAACGACATCGGCTGGAGGAGGAAAGTATTTTATAACCTTCATAGACGATTTTTCACGCAAAGTTTATGTATACTTTTTGAAGAGCAAAACTGACATTCGATCGGTATTTCAAAAGTATAAACAAGAAGTTGAAAATGAATTGGACAAGAAAATCAAAATTTTGAGAAGTGACAATGGGAAGGAGTATTGTAACCAGGATTTTACTAACTTTCTAGCAGTTTCCGGCATCAAACATCAGACGAGCTCTCCGTACTCACCTGAGCAGAACGGGTTGGCCGAGCGGATGAACAGGTCTCTTGTCGAGCGTGCAAAGTGCATGCTATTTGAAGCAAAGCTGAAGAAAACTTTTTGGGCTGAGGCTGTTGCTGCTGCAGCTCATGTCATCAACAGATCGCCGTCACGAGTACTGGGTGAGGTAACACCATACGAAAAATGGACTGGTAAGAAACCAAATATTTCACATCTAAGGATTTTTGGCACTAAGGCCATGGTACACGTTCCTAAACAAATTCGACAGAAATGGGATCGTAAATCACGTGAACTAATATTTGTTGGATACTGTGAGAACACAAAGGGGTATAGACTGTTTGATCCTATTAACAAAAAGATTGTCATTAGCAGGGATGTAATATTCATAGAGAAAGACCTTCAAACTGAAAATATTACACCGGAACCTGTATCATTGACACAGTGTGTTAATATTCCCCTGGATGCAAACAATGATTGTTCAGATTCACAGAATAGTACCGAAATAAATAACACTCTAACAAATGAAGAGGATAGCGTTCAAATTGAAGCGGAAACTAGTACGAGTGACACATCAATTTACAGTTGTGATAATGGAAGGTCGGATGATGAGACCTATTACCCTGATACAAGTGATGATACTGAGGAGAGTAGTTTTGAAAGAAATATCACTTTGAGGTCACACCAGAGACGCAACCTTCAAGGCAATAATTTCATGTGTGTTATGCCAATTTCAGATCCACAAACTGTGAAAGAAGCTATGGCAAGTACTAAGGCTGAATTTTGGAAGGATGCTATGAATGAAGAGTACAAGTCTTTATTAGAAAATAAAACTTGGGAAATTACTTCGCTACCAGCTGGCAAACGTGCAATACCATGTAAGTGGGTTTTTAAGACGAAGACGAATGAGAAAGGAGA